AAAGCATGTATGGAAGTAAGGTGAGGCGACAAAAACCCAAAACCCATTAACAGTGACATACGTCCCCCAGCAAGATTCTACATCTTAAAAGTTCCATACCCCCCACCACCAACAACACCACTAACTTGAGAACCAGGTGTTCAAATACATGAGTCTACACATGAGTCTATAGGGGAAATTTCTCATGCATTCGTGCAACTATATCTCTGTAACATTTTTAAGTTATTATCCAAACTATTAAGACCCGAGAAATGTTTATGTTAAAAGCTTTGTGTATGGTGCCTTAAAAATCTAACTAATTGCATATATCTTCCAAGTAATGTGACTTAGGAAACAACATAGGTGCCTCAGTGCTAGATTCAGGAAACAAGATGATGCAGAAGACTAGATACTCCTGACTCTGACTTGGACCCAATGGAATGATTCTTCAATCTGTGATGTTGTCAGGTTAATGCCACATTAGCTTTGGTACTAGATGATAGGAATATCCTGCTTTATTCACAGCAAAGTAACTTCATCCATTTGTGTGCATTCACAGTATTCATCGTAGTCCATGCTCATCCTTATCATACTTTTTAGTGCCTGATGACATTTATAGAATTGGCTTAAAGGCCACCTAGTGAGTGTAAAGTCTCCCTACATTCTGTGCAAGGTCATTTCCTTTTACTTTTTTATAAAACCCAAATGGCTTATTTCATTGAAGAGAATCATAATGAGAAGTGTATTGTTTGATTAGTTCGGAGTGGTCAAAGTGCTCCTGAAACAATGTCACATAGGGCACCCACAGAGCACTCCCCCATAAGCCTCTTCAGAAAAACTAGGAGGTGCAGAGTCAACACAGTGGCACATAAAAGTCTTTTAGCTGTGCTTGAATTGTTCTAGGAACTTTCTATTGACCTCAACTCCAAGAGACTCCCCTGCTTTTCAGGATGTTTTCACCAATTTGTTTGAAAAGTGTGCTGTTTGTGATTTTTGTTGTTCGCTTACCATGAAAACATTATAAAACTGCTGTCAGGTTGGGACATGGTATTGGAGGAAACTTGAATCTCTTTTACAGGAATCAGGGGCTGAATATTTGGTTCCAGAACAAACTACCTCTTATATGCCCTTTGAGGTGAAAATTGTGTTTTGTTGTGATAAGGAGTGTATTCCAGATTTTGATTTGTGAAATTAAAGCCAATGCTTGACTGGAAGATAAATACCCAGAGATGTTAACCTTTGAAGAGACAGCAACTCCAAGTAAGTGCAGAGAAGGACATCTTCTCACACTGGGAGGAGCCTCAGGAAGTTGAATCCAGAAAAGAGAGAGACCCACCTAATCACCCTCTTCCCCAGAGAAACTGTGACATCCAAGGATGCAGAGAGACAGAGTGAAGAGTAAGTGCTTTTCAGCAAGCCAGCATTACCAGAGAAGACTAGGAGACATGTAAATAACATTACTCAAGAGTTTCTTACAAAATTGTATATGGGTTAATTTCACCTAACAATAAGGGGAAATACTTAGTCAAGTAGAAATGAGTCCCACAGGGAAACATGATGACTATTTTGTCTGGTTCCACTTTATTTTTTTAAAATTTTTATTTATTTATATTAATAAAAGTTTATTCATTTCATATCGTAGCTGTAACCCCTTCCCTATTTCCCTCCCAATCCTACCCTTCCTCTCTCATCTACTCCCATTCCCTCTCTAAATAAACTGAGATGAGTGGTCCTCCTCCTTTTCCATTTGACCCTAGCTTATCAGTTCTCATCAGGACTGGCTTCATTGTACTCCTGTGTAGCCTGGTCAAGGTGATCCCCACACAGGGGGAGGTGCTCAAAGAGACAGCCACTGAGCACATGACAGAGTCAATCCCTGATCCCCTTACTAGGGAACCCACTTGGATAATGAGCTTCCATGGGCTATCTCTGAGCAGTGGTTCTGGTTATCTAGGTTATATCCATGAGTGATCCTTCATTGGATTATCAGTCTCAGAAAAGACCCATGTGCCCAGATTTTTTGGTTCTGTTGTTCTCTTTGTGGAGTTCCTGTCCTCTGCAGGTCTTAATATCTCCCACTTCTTTCATAAGATTCCCTGCAATCTGCACAAAGCTTAGTAATGAGTCTCAGCATCTGTTTTGATACACTGAGGGACGGAGTCTTTCAGAGGCCCTTTGTGGTAGGCTCCTGTACTGTTTCCTGTATTCTTCTTCTACCAATGTCCATCCCGTATGTCTTTCTCAGTGAGGATTAATCATCTTACACAGGATCCTCTTTTCGCTTGGCTTCTGTAGGTGTAGAGATTTTTTTATGTTTATACTATGTTATATATCTAATATCCTCATATAAGTGAGTATATACCGGGTATGTCATTCTGCTTCTGGGATACCTCATTCAAGATGATCTTTACTAAATCCCACCATTTGCCTGCAAATTTAATGATTTCCTTGTTTTTCATTGTTCTTAATTCCATTGTGTAAGTATAGAACAATTTCTGTATCCATTCCTCAGTTGAGGAATCTGGGTGGGTTCCAGATTCTACCTATTATGAATAAAGATGCTATTAACATGGTTGAGCAAATGTCCTTGTTGTGTACTTGAGCATATTTTGGATATATGCCTAGGAGTGATATAGCTGGATCTTGAGGAAGTGCTATTCCTAATTGTCTCAGAAGGCACCAGAATGATTAACAATGTGATTGTGCAAGTTTACATTCTCACCAGCAATGGTGGAGAATTCCCCATTCTCCACATTCTCTACAGCATGTGTTTTTACTTGAGATTTTATCTTAGCCATTCTGTTGGTTGTAAGGTGAAATCTCAGGGTTGTTTTGATTTGCATTTCCGTGATGATGAAGAATGTTGACCATTTCTTTAAGTGTTTCTCTGCCATTCTATATTCCACTACAGAGAATTCTCTGTTTAGCTTCCTACCCCAATTTTAATTGGACTACTTGATTTGTTGCTCTTTAACTTATTGAGTTCTTTATATATACTGAATATTAGACCTATGTCAGATATAGGATTGGTGAAGATCCTTTCCCAGTCTGTAGCTGTCATTTTGGTCTGACAAAACATTTTGCTCCATTGCTTTACAGAAATTTTTTAGTTTCATGAGGTCCCACTTATTTATTGCTGATCTTATAGCCTGTTCTGTTGGGATACTGTTAAAGAAGATATATCCTGTACTAATGAGTTCTAAGCTCTTCCTAAAAACCTTCTAACAGTTTTGTGTGTTTGTGTGTGTGTGTGTGTTCATTTTTACATTAAGGTTTTTGATCCACTTTGCAAACACAATTATTAACAGACCTTGAAAGAAAATTCTCCACTTGGTGTGGAATATCAAGAAACCCCAAAGAGCTAAAACAAATCTGTACAATAAAAGATCTTTTGGAGGTATCACTATTCCTTATCTCAAGCTGTAATATAGACAAACTAAATAAAAACTCTGTGATACTGGTATAGAAAAAGAATGGTGGATCAATAGAATCAAATAGAAGACAAAGAAATAAACCCACACATCTATGGGCACCTGATTTTGGACAAAGATGCCAAAACCATACATTGGTAAAAAGATAGCATTTTCATCAGTGGTGATGGTCTAACTGAATATCTACATATAGAAAAATGCAAGTAGATCCATACTTATTATCCTGCACAATACTAAAGTACAAGTGTATCGAAGTCCTCAACATAACACAAGACTCACTAAACCTGTTTGAAGAAAAAGTGCAGAACAAGAGAATCAAAAATTGTCAGCCCAGAGGTCTTTTCTGAGACTGACATTTCAACCAAGGACCATGCATATAGATAACCTAAAACCACTGCACGATGTTACCCATGGGAACTCAGTCTCCAAGTGGGTTCCCTACTTAGGGGAACAGGGGCTGACTCTGACATGAACTCAGTGGTTGGCACATTGAAACCTCCCCCTGGGAGGGGAACAGCCTTACCATGCCAGAGGGTAAATCCTGGTCAGTCCTGATGAGACCTGATAGGCTTGGGTCAGATGGAAAGGTAAGAGGTCCAACCCTATGTGTGGGCTGAGTGAAGGGTGTAGGAGGAGAAGAAGAAGAAGGGAAGGTGGGATTTGGAGGAGACAAGGAATGGAGATACAGCTGGGATACAAAGTGAATAAACTACAATAAATAAATGAAAATCAGATGCATATATGCAGAAGAAACAGACATATATAGCAAAGCATACCATATGAGTGGTTGCCCAGAGTTCCTCATCTTTTTGTATGCTGATAATACAATCCAGGTCTTTCATATTTATACAGCAATCTATTATTGCAGCAATAAACTATTATATGAAAAAAAAATTCAGAGAATCAATGAAACCAAGAGCTAGGTCCCTGAGAAAATCTACAAGATAGGCAAGTCCTTCGCCAGACTAACTAAAAGGAAGAGAGAAAATATCCAAGTTAGCAAAATCAGAAACAAAAAGGGGAACATAACAACAGACACTGAAGAAATTCAAAGATTCATTAGGTCTTATTTCAAAAGCCTATATGCCACAAAATTTAGAAATCTAAATGAAATGGACAATTTTCTTGATAAGTTTCATTGAACAAAGCTTCAGAATTCTTAATCTAAACTAATAATCTCATGATGATGCATTCTTTATAAATGATTTTTAATTCTATCCAATTTTTATACAAATTTATCGTAGCCTGTAGGCATAACAAAGAGATAGATAAAGCCACTGTGACACTGTAAACTTCACTAAAGCTTCTTGCTTTTACTATATCCTCTGAGTGCAACTCCACAACTTCTAAATCTCTTAGTTTCTCCTTTTTATCTATACACACGAATGTTATCAAATCTATGGAAGAATGGAGGCTATCTCTTAATTTTTTCTTACTGAAGGTTGAATCAATTAGTCATGCATAGCATATCTCAGGGAGAAGGAGTTAGTGTGCATGCCAAAGACTTTGTGTGGTACAAGCAGCTGGTGAGACTCTCAAGGAGGTTTGTGTTGGAGGCTGAAGGACTGTGGGAGGAGAGCTGCTATGCTGCTAACAGTAATATACTGCCAGGTCTTCAGCCTGCACACTGCTGATGGTGAGAGTGAAATCTGTCCCAGATCCACTGCCTCTGAAGCGATCAGGGACCCCAGTGTATCTATTGGATGCACCATATATTAGCAGTTTAGGAGGCTGCCCTGATTTCTGTTGGTACGAAGTTACAGAAGCTGCAGAACTGCCCACACTCTGACTGGACTTGCAGATTTGGATGATTCTGTCTCCTACAGATGTGGACATGTATTCAGAAGACTGGGTCATCAAAATGTTCCCCTCAGCACCTGCAACCAGAAATAGACAGTGAGTATACACAAATACACACAAAGAATTCCTGATACAAATGTTTGTATCAAAAATGCTTTTCTAATGGCATTGCCTGCATATGATTGGATTCCTATGGTAAATAGCTGTTTCTTTACAAATGAACTATTTTGATGATATTCTAATATTTTTTAATGTCTCACCAGACATCCAAAGGAGCAGGAATATGAAGGCCTGGGTCTGTGCCTCCATCTTGGTGCTCCAGGCTGTCTGATGCTTTTCAGTTCTCACTGCAAAGGCCTTGTTTATAAATTATGTGCAGGTGGGCTGGCTTGTAGGGACCTAAACAAAACAGTCATCAAATGAGAAAGTAAATAGCCTGGGTACTGTAGTGTGAGAGAATCCAGGTTAAATCTACAGACAAAAATATAATCAAAGCTAGGAACCAATCACTGAGGAAAAAAGTAAACATGGAAGCTCAAGGACAAACTTAGAGCTCTCAAACTGAAAATATCAAAATTCACTAGTGACGGGCTTCCAATAAAGATCAAAAATATTTAAAGCAAGTGATGTTAATAGAAATAAGACTAGAAAACCATCGATTACAATCCTGAGGAAACAATATAGTGAATAAACAACAGCAGAAAGAAACAGGAGAAGCAGAAAGAAGAAAGGAAAGAAAGAAGGGGAAAGTAGAAGGGTAGTTGAGAGAAAGGAAAGAAGAAGATGCAGAAAAAGGGAGGGAAATCTGGATTGAAAAAGGATTCAGAAATGTGGAGAGGAGAGAAAGAATGAAGCAGATAACACTTAAATAAACGTTAAAACAAAAGTTTTAGGAATACAGAGTCAAGTCAGTAGTTAACAGCATTTGATTCTCTTATAAAAGAACCACATTTGATTCCAATGAATTGTTTGATTATTCTCAGTCATCTATAATTCCAGTTATGGCACACACATGGCACACATACATACATGCATACATACATACATACATATCTAAATACATACATAGATTTTGAGATGTGATCCCTGAGCTTCTGCTCCAGCTAAAACAAGGTCTGCCACCTGCTGCCTTCATTCTGCTATCACGGATTCTAGTTCTCTGAAAGCCCTCAAGGAACCCTTTCTTAAAAAGTTGCTTTTGTACTGTTATTTATCACAATTGAAAAATAACTAGATACTTTCTTTCCTGCGCAGATAGATTTGACCCTTGACCTCCCCTGCCTCTTCCTTTTCCTCTTCCAGGGACGGTGCTTAGAGGCACTCAAAATGGTCCAGCACTTGACATACCATCATAGGCTCTCCTACAATACAGCCTCTAACAAAACTAGGCTGTCTCGAACTCCTGGTAACAGGATTGTTTACCTGTACACCAAGAAGGTTGGGAAAGCACCTAAATCTGCCTGTGGTGTGTGCCCGGGCAGACTTCGATGGGTTCGCGCTGTGAGGCCTAAAGTCCTTATGAGACTGTCAAAGACAAAGAAGCATGTCAGCAGGGCCTACAGTGGTTCCACGTGTGCCAAGTGTGTACGCGACAGGATCAAGCGGGCTTTCCTTATTGAGGAGCAGAAAATTGTTGTGAAAGTGTTGAAGGCACAAGCACAGAGTCAGAAAGCAAAAAAAAAAAAAAAACATGGAGCTTTTTTAAGTAATAAAAAAAAAGAAAGAAAAATAACTAATAAAAAGGGAGAATCCATCAAGAATATATTAGAACTGTAAGAAGACACACAAAATACATTAACAGTTTTATCTGGTCTACAATACCGTCTTGCTCTCCTGTATCCATGGCCTCCAAAAGCATTTGATCAAATTGTTTTTAGAGCATACATAGATGGCATTAGTTAACATATTGTTTACATGGATTTTCACTTTCTAAATGTTAAATTTACTCATAAATATGAGATAAAAACCTGGAAGGGAAAGTATATCAAGACACAGTCATACTTCTTTAGTATAGAGTGAAGTTTCAGGGACTCTACATTTGAAAGCAGATTGGGAGAATTCAAAGTGGTATGTGACTCGTGAGGAAGAGGGAGAGGTAGACATATGGCTTAGAAAAAATATTATTACATGTACCCTATCATTTACAAATTTTGTATTTTAAACATAAGTATATAAACATGAACACAACTGTAGTGGGTATATAGAAGGGGGACTAGGTGACAGAAATAAATTTGTAGTAATTGAAACATGGAAAAGAGAGAAAGAGGATAGTAAAGGGTGTGTCTTATTAAGGATTATAATGGCTATGATAAAATATCATAACCAAAACCTACATAAAAAGATGGGAAATTTTATTCTCCTTACATTTCCAGGTAACTGTCCATCATGAGAGCTGGGATTCACACAGAGAAAAGAAGCCAGAGGCAGAAGCTGAGCACGGGCTATGGAGGAGTGCTGCTTAATGGATTCCTCCTCATGGCTTGCTCAGTTTGCTTTCTTGGGAAAGCCAGGGTCACCATCATTGGTTGACATCACCTACAATGCACTGCATCCTCCCCCATCCACTAGTAACTGAGAAAACTCCCTACAGACTTACCAATGCCCAGTGGTACGAAGGCTTTTTCTCTATTAAAGTTGATCCTTCTCAAATGATAACAGTTTGTTTCAATTTGTCATAAAATCTCATCAGCATTGGGTATAAATATGATTTTATAACATGATCTTGTAAGTAGATTGCTTTTATATAATCCAACATTATGAATAATGTGTATATTCCAGTACAGTTAATTTTTCATCAGCAACAGGATAAGGAGCAGGGTGAGTAGTCAGGTGCTTTCTAAGTTTCTGCTGCTGCCCTTGTGTTTTCTGTCCATATGCAGAATACATGGAGACTGTATTTGGAGAGGTAAATGTGCATCGCTTTCAATGTTTCCTTACTAACAATCACCAAAATTCTTTATGTATTCCTGACTAGCTCAATTTTACATTTATGTAACATAATTCACCATGATTTCTATAAGTACTTTCATTTTTACTGAATTACTAGGACAGGAACTATTTTTTTTATTTTTAATTATACATTATTTACTTTGTATCCACCCTCTAGTTCCCTCCCTCCTCCCCTCCCAATCCCTTCCTTTCTCCCCCTTCTCCACACACTCCCCTCCCCAAATCCATTGGTAGGGAGGGCTTCTTTTTCTTCCTGCTGATCCTAGTCTGTTAGGTCTCATCAGAAGTGGCTGCATTGTCTTCCTCTGTGGCCTGTTAAGGCTGCTCCCCCCTCAGGGGGAGGTGATCAAAGAGCAGGCTAATCAGTTCATGTCAGAAGCAGTCCCTGTTCCCATTACTATGGAACCCACTTGGACACTAAACTGCCATGGACTACCTCTGTGCAGGGATTCTAGGTTGTCTCCATGCATGGTACTTGGTTGGAGTATGAGTCTCAGGAAAGACCCCTGTGCTCAAATTTTTTGGTTCTGCTACTCACCTTGTGAACCTCCTATCCTCCAGATTTTACTATTATTTCCCAGTTCTTTCATAAGATTCCCTTCATTCTTCCCAAAGATTGGTCATAAGTCTAAAAGTCTGCTTTGATAGTCTGCAGGACAGAGCCTTTCAGAGGCCCTCTGTGGGAGGATCCTAACTTGTTTCACATTTTCTTCTTCTTATGGTATCCATCCTCTTTGCCTATCAGAGTGGGGATTGAGCATTTTAATCAAAGTCCTCCCTCTTGATTAGTTTCTTTAGATGTACAGATTTTAGTAGATTTATCCTATATTAGATGTCTATACCATGTGTGTCTATCTGCTTCTGGGATAGCTCACTCAGGATGATCCTTTCCAGATCCCACCATTTACCTGAAAATTTCATGATTTCAGTGTTTTTCATTACTGAGTAATATTCCATTGCGTGGATGTACCAAAATTTCTGTATCCATTCTTCAGTTGAGGGGCATCTGGGTTGTTTCTAGCTTCTGGCTATTACAAATAAAGCTGCTACAAATATGGTTGAGCAAATATCCTTTTTGTGTACTTGAGCTTCTTTTGGATATATGCCTAAGAGTGGTATGGCTGGATCTTGAGGAAGCACTATTCCTTGTGGTCTGAGAAAGCACCAGATTGATTTCCAGAGTGTTTGTACAAGTTTACATTCCCACCAGCAGTGGAGGAGGGTTCCCCTTTCTCCACAACCTCTCCAGCATGTGTTGTCACTTGAGGCTTTGATCTTGGCCATTCTGATGGGTGTAAGGTGAAATCTCAGGGTCGTTTTGATTTGTATTTTTCTGATGGCTGAGCAATGACGCTGAGCAATTCTTTAAGTGTTTCTCTGTCATTTGATATTCCTCTATCAAGAATTCTCTGTTTAGCTCTGTTTCCCATTTTTAATTGGGTTACTTGATTTGTTGTTTTTCAAATTCTTTAGTTCTTTATATATACTGGATATTAGCCCTCTGTCAGATAGAGGGTTGGTGAAAATCCTTTCCCAATCTGTGGCAGTCGTTTTGTTTTGAGGATGGTGTCTTTTGCTTTTCAGAAGCTTTTCAGTTTCATGAGGTCCCATTTATCGATTGTTGCTCTTAGAGCCTGTGCTCTTGGTGTTCTGTTCAGAAAGTTGTCTCCTGTGCCAATGAGTTCTAGGATCTTACCTATTTTTCTTCTACCCGATTTAATGTGTCTGGTTTTATGTTGAGGTCTTTGATCCAATTGGACTTTAGTTTTCTGGAGAGTGATAAGTATGGATCTGTTTGCACTTTTCTACATGTAGACATCCAGTTAGACTAGCACCATTTGGTGAAGATGCTGTCTTTTTTCCATTGTATGGTTGTGGAATCTTTGTGAAAGATCAGGTGTCCATAAGTGTGTGGGTTTATTTCTGGGTCTTCTACTCGGTTCCATTGATCCACCAGTCTGTTTCTATGCCAGCACCATGAAGTTTTTATAACTGTTGCTCTATAGTACATCTTGAGATCAGGGATGGAGATACGTCCAGAAGATTTTTTATTGTAGAGGATTGTTTTAGCAATTCTGGGTTTCTTGTTATTCCATATGACGTTCAGAATTTTTCTTTCCAGGTCTGTAGAGAATTGTGTTGGTAATTTGATGGGAATTGCATTGAACCTGTAGATTGCTTTTGGTAAGATGGCCATTTTTACAATGTTAATCCTGCCAAGCCATGAGCATGGGAGATCTTTCCATTTTCTGATATCCTCTTCTAATTCTTTCTTCAGAGACATCAAATTTTTTTCATACAAGCCTTTGAGTTACTTGGTTAGGGTTTCACAAAGGTACTTTAAGTTTTTTGTGGCTATT